TACTTTTACTTTAGTTTTGGTGCAAAAACGCATGATCGCACCGGCTCGCCTGGTGCGTTCCAGCCTGGGTTTGTACTGAATAGCGTAACTCATCGTGAATTTTGCATAAAGGAAAATGGAAAATTTCCTTTGAACGACCAAAAGGATTGGACTATTCGATAAGCTATCCCCCTTCCAAAGCTTGACATGCTCATACGTAGGTACCACGCATGATTAAGATCTAAATTTGAAACCTTCAAGTTGTGCGTGAATGGGAAACATCCCCTCAAAATTCCGGCCTCCCAGCCTTTCTTGTGTCCGAGTTAGCAATATTCCTACTAGAAGTTTTGCGTGCCGTAAGTAAGAACTATGCATACTCGGAAGCCGAATTTGAAATCTTTAACTTGTGTGTGAGCGGGGAATATTCCTTAAAATTTCAGCTTTTTTGCTTTTCCGCTCCCTGATTTAACAGTCTTCCTTACGTGAGACACAGATATACTAGAGGGGCTGAATTTAAATTTTTGGTTGTATGTGAGTAGGGGACATTTCTTCAAAATTCTATCCTTCTAGGTTTTCTGGTTCTCGATTTATTAAATTTCACGTCAGAAATTTTACGTGTTTCAACGTTAAACATAGACTTAATAGGGAGCTGAATTTGAAATATTTTGGACGTATATGAGCAAGGAAAATCCTCTACAAATTCAGCTGTCAAGTCTTCCTCGTTCCCGATTCAGCAATTTTCCCACCCGTGCATGGAATATCACGTTCCTGGCGCCGCACTTGCCAGGGAACACACTGGCAAAAATCCAGTTGCCGAGTAGAAATACAGGCGCAGAAGAACACACACAGTCATACACGGACACATACGTCGTCACAATATGCGTTTTCGCCGCCAGTCGCAGTGCTGTAGCGCTGCACGGTAAAAACGCATAAAAAGGGATAGAGCGGTAGTACTGCATTGCGGGTTTCGGCAATTTCAGCTCCATAGCATTAATGATTACATTTGGGGGAGATGTTGACAGTTTTGAACCCTGAAGTTTACTGTATCCAATGTAAGTCATAAGTACTCGTAAAAGCTAAAAAACTTATGTTGCCTGATTCCAAGAATCCTTTTTCTCCCCGAGGCATTTTCACATTTTCTTTCATATATTCATACGTGAAATGTAGACGTACGCGAGAGTTAATTTTAGATTTTTGGGGTTGCACACAGACTGGGGACATCCGCGCAAAGGCATAGTTACATAGATTCTTAGTTGTGCTAAGAATGGGTGAGGAAATCCGAACGCACACATACATATCCCGGTACTCTCCCATCACACTCTGTTTTTGCATTGTATCAATTGCACATCCTGTCGAGAGACTATCTGATTGCGTATCTTTCTTTGAGTACATCGGTCTATACGGTATCACATCGCATAAACGCGCAAGTACATCAAACGTGTATGTCCGTCTGTCCATGTGCCTGTTTGTACATGTGCCACTTCGCATGCATGCACAAACAAAACAGAAGTGTGTATGTGTATGTGTGTGTGCATGAATATTTTTAAACATTTTCAGCTGAGCAGCAAGAAAAACTTGAAAATGTAAGCTGGTTGAAATTTTGGAATTTATGTAAGTGTTTTCTGTTCATTTGTGAGCTGAAGATTTCAAAGGTATAGGATTTGAAGACTGTGGTAGGAAATGAAGCATTTTCCAGTAGTCCTTGAATAAGCTCACTGGAAATATATTTATTCGAAAATTAACATTTTGATGACAAAAAATCATTGGCCTGCTAGATATAATAAAAAGGGCGTCACTTGGTTCCTTGAGAAAAGTGGAAGTTCCCTCCTGAGAAAGAAGCGCTTACTCTACTTCTGTCTAAGTTACTGAGCGAAGTAATGAAGCAATGACAGGTTATAACAGACAACAAAGCACAAGACTGAAACGGACATTTCATTTTTTAATTCATCAGATGCTGCACAGAAACATGCACATAGACAAACACAGGTGGAAAAAAACACAGGTGGACTATTTTGTTTCACTAAATGACAGCGACGATTAACTGTTTGCACTAGTTACTCCTTATTGGAAATTTTTTTCTTGAAAAATATGTTTCGAAGACGGTTTTTACAGATTAGTCTCAGTGTATCACAAAATAAATCCCACTAAACTTTTTTACTTAGGAGATTACAATTAAAAAAATTAAATTAATCTTAATTTTCCATCTTCTTCACCTTCTGAACAGCCTAATCACTCTTTTTTTCTTCCCCAAGCTTCTTAGCTAATGTAGTTTGTAATACACGTTTTTTGAAGTTAAGAGTCAAATTTTTCAATTCAGAA